TAATAACAAGACCCAAGTTCCATGGTCAAAGCCGGATGCACAAGATTTGCTGCCCACTAAGTCGTGCTCCTTCCCCCAGCCCGTTTCCAGCTCCCCAGCGAGCGCTGATGCAAACTCAGGGCGAGAACGTGCTGCTGAAACCAAACCTTCTCAGGGCAGGAAAAGTGAATTTCTCCTCTTCCTCCTCCAGATGAATACTTCAGCCAGGGCTGTGCTCCTGGGTCTCCTCCCACCTCCCGCCTGTGCCAGCTGTGCAAGGGCTCAGGAGGGGTCCCTCCGGAGAACTGCGTCGCCAGCAGCCACGAGCAGTACTATGGATACACCGGAGCTTTAAGGTACGTGCTGGGACACCCAGGCTGCCCCAGTGTCCCGGGGCTGCTCACAGAGGGCAGGTCACAGCTCAAGGACAGCCCCATGTTGACACTTATTTGCTGATTGTCCCGGTTTAGGGCAAATTTAGAGAGAAAACCACTGAATGGGGTTCCCTTTAGGAAACAGATTCAAGCAGTTCCTTTCTCAACTGGTATGGGGAAATATTTCCTCGGAGAGAAGTGGGAAAAAACCTGTTTATTTAACAGGCAAAGCACTCCCCAGCACAAAAATGAACAATACTAAACAGCAAAACCTCTCACCGTTCCAAAGAGATGACAAATCCAGCAGAATCCCTTCCGTGGGTTGTAGCCTGGCTCACTCAGGCTGTTCTCAGTCCCTCAGAGCTGGGAAATGCCTGGTGGGACACAGGTGTGAGCTCCTGGTGCTCTTCTGGGTTTTCAGTCCAGAGCAGGTTCAAACAGTTCCAGGAAAAAGGAAAAAAACCCAAAACACACAGTCCAGGGAGATTCTCTGCCTCAGCTAGCCAGAAAAATTAACCAAGAGCAAAGGAGAGCTCTCTCCTGCTGTCCACTGCAGACAGCACAGTCAGTGTGAAGGATGTGGGGGAGCCAGTGCAGTCTCTGATAACAAATTCTGCACTTCTTCTTTCCCCTTCTTCACTCCTGGAACCAGTCTTAAAGCTGCAGGGCTCAATATTCAACACCAACAGAACAGATGATTGAGGATACAAGCATCACAAAGTCACCCCTACACTGACCTACTCTTTTTCTCCATTACACCACTGGAAGTACATATCTCTGTAATACTATATATATGCCACGTGATTTTTCTTTGCTTCCTGAAAATTGATGTGAAATATCCCCTTTCAGTAAAACTCATGTCCTGGTGCCTCCAGGCAAACCTGGAGAGGCACAAGCTTCCCACAATAGCAGAAGTGCTCCTCTTTCAACATTAATAAGGAGTGTGTTTAAAAAAGACTGTTTTTCAGACATATTTAGAATATTTGTGGCAGGGCTCCTAGATCTGGATGTCCTTGGAGATTAATTGTATATCATAAGACTCAAATCTAAATCAAATCTGTGGGAAAGGGACAGGATTCAAGCACTTACATCACTGGGCTCTTTTCCTACTTCCCAGGTGTCTGGTTGAGAAGGGGGATGTGGCCTTTATCAAGCATTCCATCGTTGAGGAGAACACTGATGGTAAGTGTTCAGGGCTGCCTTCCCCATGATTGCTTAGCTGATGTTGTCCTGTTACACAAGATCTCTGAATCTCCAAACCCATTCTCTTTAAAGGCAAAAATACAGAAAGCTGGGCCAAAAATCTGAGAATGGACCAATTTGAGTTGCTGTGCACTGATGGGCAGCGGGCAAATGTGATGGATTACAGGAGATGCAACCTGGCCAAAGTCCCTACCCACGCTGTGATGGCACGTCCTGAGAAAGCACAACAAGTCCGTGAGATGCTGGAGAGCCAAGAGGTTTGTAGTGCTGAGAGTAGAAGAAATATCGTGGGGTTGATCTGGTTTTCCCCAAGTCAGTGTAAGGTGGAAGCTTTTGCCTCACCGCTATGGGGTGACAGCCTTGTTGTCCCTTGGCTTCCCCCTTCATCCATCCCTTCCCAAGTGCTCTTTCTCCTCTGTCCCTTGGCAATACAGGCAGAAGATGCAATCCTAAATTTCTGGAGCCTGGCTTGGGGTTCTCCAGCTGATGGTGAAGAACCAGGAACAAGAAGTAAGTCAGCTTTCTACTTCTCTCCTCTTTGTGCTTTTTTTTTTTTCAGAGGCTGTTTGGAGCAAAAGGAAGCAGGAATAAAGATTTCAACATGTTTGCATATGAATCCAAGGACCTTCTGTTTAAGGACCGGACAAAGTGCCTGATCAAGCTGCGTGATGGAATGTCGTACAAGGAATTCCTTGGAGATAAATACTATGCTTCACTTGCCAGCCTCAACACCTGCAATCCATCAGGTAACTGGAACAGCACCAGAGGAAGTCCTGAATTGCAATTTTTACCTTGCAGGCATGAGCAGTTTCTTCTGGAGCTGTCCATTCAATGCCCTTAAAGGAAGAAAATGCAACTGTTATTTTCTCAAAGTTCCTTGGGTGAACTGAGAACAGACTTAAAATCTGCTGCTCTGGCAGCAATGTGGATAAAAGATTAGAAAATATAGACTTTGAGAAATGGCACAGAGAACCCCCCGTGGACCCATCAGTGTGGGATTTGTGGTTAAAGCTCTTTTTTTGTGGCACACTGTGGATTTTCCATGGTGTGACATTGTTGGCCTGGCTGGGTGTGTGCTGGTGGGATGGAAGTGTTTAAAAACAGGATCTGAACTTCTCCCTGTCCTTTCCAGATCTTCTCCAGGTGTGCACCTTCCTTGAGGACAAGCAGTGAGATGGGAAGGATCCTCGAAGTGGGGGAGAAAACCTCAAGCCATGACTCCTCTCGTGCCCTCAGCACCAAACACTGACCCGCGGGGGGCCTCTGCCTTCACTGCTTTCTCTGCCCTCCCTCATCACTCTGAAAGTAGCTCTTTGACACTTTACAATTCTCTGCTGCCAGCACAGCAAAAAATAAAATCTCAAATCTAAACACGTGTCCTGACATTTTTCCAAATGGTTCTTAAGCCCATTCCTTCCTCAGTGCCTCTTGCCTAGGACAGTGACAGATACCAGCATGGCTGTTGTCACTTACTGCTGCCCCTTAGGGAAATTTCTTGCACCGTTTGCCAAAGCAAAATGGATTTAATATACCCCGGAGCCTAATTAACAGATGCTTTGTACTCTTCTGTGCTTTTGCTTTGCCCAGATTCTCCCATTGTTTCCCCAGCAGGTGATGGTTCTCCAGTGTGGTTGGAACACAGGAAAAGGGGGAGTGTTTGTGTCAGGGAAGCTGAAGAAGGAACAAAAACCACTCCAAACCAAAACACTACAGTGGGAGTAAGATGGGAGGTGTGAACAGAAACTGCTGTGTCTCAGATCTCAGCTGGCTGGGTCTGAGTCACTTGCACCAGGCAGGACTCATTGAGCACATACATATATTGATGGGGAGACTCCAGGCTGAGGTTTCCTTTCTGGAAAAATCTAGGATTTGCTCAGAGACATGTTTGTTTTGGTATTCTGCCTTATTTTGTGCTGCTGACATGAAAACAAACATGTGGTTAGTTGTGCCACAGTGAAACTACGAAGGTGAAACAGAAAGGGCTGCTGAAGCTCTCTGCTCCAGAGAAACAGCCTGGGCTTGTCCAGGGTGTCCCAATCCTGCTGTCAAGGCAGGCATGGAGGAGCTGCTGAGAGCACAAAGTTCCTGGCTTTGAGGGAATTAATATTTTAAAGATTTTTGGAAGCATAAGGTAAGTGTGAGAAGTCCACCAGCCTGACTGAAAATCCCCCTGGATGGCAGAAATGCAGAGGGTGACAGGAAAGGATGAAATGCAGTCCCTCAGTTTATGTAGGATGAGTACACTGCACAGGTGGGTTTTTACCCATTCTTCAAAACCAGCAAAGAAAGAGAATCAGCACCTCTAACAGGCTGTTTCTACAACTCAGTACGGCTACAGTTAGGAAACTTCCCCCCCCCAAAAAGCTGCACCATCTGCATTTCATGCCAGGTGTAAGCCTTTGTCCCATAAATAGAAGGTGTGGATAAAAGGAACCTCACTAGGGGATCACTCAAGCTGGAGGGACCTCTGGGGATCTCCAGTCCAATCTCCTGCTCAAGGAAAGGGATCTGCCAGGGTGCTCAGGGCTTGGCCTCCAATGATGGCAACTTCACAACCTCCCTGGGCAGGCTGTCCTGCTCCTGGCAGCCCCCAAAGGAGAACATTGCTCTCATACCCAGTTTCAATATATTCCTGCACCACTGTGGGAAGCCTGGCTCTGCTTCCTGATGCCTGGTACAAACAGCCATATCTTCCTGGGACAAAACAGCTCCGTGGAATGCTCGAGTGGCTGGAAAGCTGGGAAAGGCCCTGGAGGTGCTGGTGACAGCAGCTGGACACGAGCCCAGGTGTGCCCAGGTGGGCAAGAGGCCGATGGCCCCTGGGCTGTCCCAGCCATGGTGTGTCCAGCAGGCCCAGGGCAGGGACTGTCCCTCTGTGCTGGGACCTGTGAGGCTCCTCCAGCCCTGGGGACAGCTCTGGGCCCTCACAGCAAGAGAGACATCGAGGGGCTGGAGTGTGTCTGGAGAAGGGAACAGAGTTGGGGAAGGGCTGGAGAGGCTGAGGGAGCTGGGAAAGGGGCTGAGCCTGGAGAAAAGGAGGCTCAGGGGGAACCTTCTGGCTCTGCACAACTCCCTGACAGGAGGGGACAGCTGGGGAGGGTCGGGCTCTGCTCCCAGGGAACGGGGACAGGATGAGAGGGAACGGCCTCAAGCTGTGCCAAGGGAGGGTCAGGTTGGACATTGGGAAAACTTCTTTCCAGAATGAGCTGTCCAGCCCTGGCACATTTGCCTGGGATTTAAAAGCTCTGTGTATGTGGCACTTCGGGACACGGTTTAGTGGTGGCCTTGGCAGCGCTGCGGTCAGAGAGCTTTGCCAGCCTAAACAATTCCATGTTTCCCCAGGCTTCCCCGGGGAGTCCCTGCCACCCCAGAACTACAGCTCCCATGAGCCCCCGCGCCCCGCCCTTCCCGGCGTGCCGCGGGGCCGGAAGCGGAAGTGTGGCGTGGCCACGTGTGCGCACCATGGCGGGCGGGCTGGAGCCGCATCTGGAGGCGCTGCGGCGGGAGCTGCGCGGCCCTGCCGTGCTCTCCGTGCTCGTCGCGCTCATCGCCGTCGTCATCACCTTCCGTGAGTTGCGGGAACCTCCCTTTCCCCTCGCCCCGCGGCCTGCCAGCAGCCAGCGCTCGCTGAGGTGGCGCCGGTGCTGCCAGCCACTGGCTTAGGTGTCCCTCTCTCATCCTCATCCTCCTGTCTCCCGCAGTGATCTGGCGGTTCCTGCAGGGCAGGAGGAGCAGCAGGAAGGCCGTGCTGCTGCTGGGCCTCTGCGACGCGGGCAAGACGCTGCTTTTCGCGCGGGTGAGCGGGGAGCGGCGCGGGGGCCTCTTGTACGGAGGTGAAGGAGTTCCCTTTCGTTCGATTTTTAATCTTTTAATGGAACTTGAAAGTTGGTGTTTTTAGATGTAAAGAGGGATGGATATCGACTTTTGTCTACCACGGAGTGTCAGCAGAAATTCTGTTTTGGTTTGAATTTGTCATAGTAAAAGGCTTAGGGATGCTTGCCCTCACCGCAGTGTGCAGCTCCTCCCCAGGGGTAGCGGAGGGGCAGCTCCAGTCTCAGCTCTCTGGCACCAGGGACAGCACCCGAGGGAACGGCTGGAGCTGTGCCAAGGGAGTTTAGGTTGGATATCAGGGAAAGATTCTTCCTCCAGACGGTGGTGAAGCAGTGGACTGGCTCCCCAGGGAATGGGCACGGCCCCAAGGCTGCCAGAGCTCCAGGAATGTGTGGACAGCGCTCCCAGGGATGCACAGGGTGGGATTGATGGGGTGCCTGTGCAGAGCCATGAGTTGGGCTGGTTATCCTGGTGGGTCCCTTCCAACCCAGGGTATTTTGTTACTGTTAAGTCTGAAAATGAAAAGGGCACAGGCCATGCTTACCGTGGTCCCAGCTGGAAAACGGAAGGATTTGCAGGCACATTCTCTTCCTTCTTATTTTAGTGGAGATTCACAAGATAAATATATATTTATTTTCTTAATGACCATTTTTTTAATTAATTGGGGAATGTGACCCTAGTAGTAGTTTCCTGCAGGAAATTAAGATCAGATCCCCAGTGCCCATCACGCCTGGCAGACCATTTCAGTTTCTGGGTGGATGGGACGTGATGCTGGTGCTGGTTTAGGGGTGTGGAGCCCCTCAGGGCGTTTGTTCTGAAGCTGTGCCTGTTCCCCCAGCTGCTGTCGGGGCGGTACCGTGACACCCAGACCTCGATCACCGACAGCTCTGCCGTGTACAGGGTCAGCCAGGACAAGGTGAGTGCACACACTCTGCTCTGGGTGCTGCCCTTTCCTGTGCTAAACCTGTGAACTTCTTGTGCTGCTCAGCCACAGTTTGGTCCGAGTGTAGGACAGGATTTTTCCAGGCAATGCACACTGAGAAGGTCGGGAAATACTGGGGTTTATTAAATGCTGCTGGGCTCCACATGTTCCTTTTTCTTTGCCTGGAAAATAATGAAACCTTCCTGACTGAAAACCACATCTGTGAGTTGGAGCAGGAGGCAGATTTGAGGGAATTCACTGTTCTCTTGCATTGGTTTATTTTCTCAGCAGTAATTTCTGTTTCTCTCAAGAAAACCTGAAATTAAAAGCTTTATCAGGTTTAAGCAGAAGCTCCAGCTGCACTTTATGTGGTGTCAGGAAGGATTTTATTATTTTCAGGTCCTGGGCTGCCACACACCTGGTTATTTTCAGTTTTTGGCAATTCTTTCATTCTGGAAATCTCTTGTGCTGGATGCACACGTGGCAGGGAGAGCAGAATGCTGTCAGCACCTTAACTGCTGGTGAATTCACCTTCTCAGTAATTTTTTTTAATCATAGCCAAGGTTTCCAATAGAATCCAAGAGCAGTGGGCAGGAAGGGGCTCCTGCAGCCTTATCTTGAGAGCAGTGACGTGGCCCTGCTCAACCATGTGCCCTCTCCCACGTCCTGCCTTTGGCTGTTTCCTTTCCTGGGAAGGGAAACCTTTGCAACTTTCAGTTTAAAAAGGCCCTTGCAAAGGCATTTTTGTGTTTTTCCCAGCAAGGTTTGGTGTATTTAGGGAGACTTGGTATGTGTGAATAAGCGAGGCTGTAGATTTATGTTCTGTGTCAGGGGTAGATGGGCTTGTGCCTTCAAATCCAGGGTCAGACTGGTTTTCCCCAGTCTGTGATCACAGGAGCCCTGGATTAGGTGTTGTTAATTCCTTCTTGCCTGTGTTCCAGAGCACTAATGTGACCTTGATCGACCTTCCAGGCCACGAGAGTCTGAGGCTGCAGTTCTTGGAGAGGTTCAAGGCTGCAGCCAGGTAACATGGAGGGGATCAGCAGGGGATGAGGGGGTGGATGATCCTTTGGAAAGAGATAAACCAAATGATGGTGCTGGGAACGCTGTGAGCTGGGCTGCTGGTGCCCTGAGAGTCACAGCTCTGCTGTGGGGTGGTTGCTTTACCTTCAAAGAACATCCTGAGTGGGAAGGGGTCCAAAAGGATCATCGAGTCCAACTCCTGACCCTGCACAGAACAATCCCAAAAATCACACCATGAATTTCCTACTTACCTGTGCTTGTACTGCAGCAGGGAGGTCTGGGGGATGTGGGATATCCTGGGGCAGACAGGGCAGGAATTCCTGCTGGAGTCCTGCCCATGGGGTGTATTTCAGCCAGTGAACCTGTGCTTGGGCTGGGTGAGACCAGATGTGGAAATCTCAGCCCAGACTGGAATACTTGCAGTACTAGATAACTGCAGAACTTCATCCCCAGCACTTGTCCTTCCCTCTTGCCCCAGAGCCATCGTGTTTGTGGTGGACAGCGTTGCCTTCCAGCGGGAGGTGAAGGACGTGGCAGAGTTCCTGTACCAGGTGCTGGTGGACAGCACCGTGCTCAGGAACGCGCCCGCGCTGCTCATCGCCTGCAACAAGCAAGGTACCCTGCCTGCCCTGCAGCCCAGGGCGTCCTGCCACAGCTGCTCTCAACTTGGGAGTTGGGATTTCAGCAAAAGGAAGGCTGGGATTTAGGTTTAAACTTGGACTGCTCAGCAGGAGTGTTTAGAGGACTGCTTGGGAGAGCTGCAGCTTTGTGGGTGGGTGTAAGTAAGGCAGGTGGCTTTTGTGTGGCTTTTTGTTTTGTGCAGAGCTGTTCCTCAGTCTCCAGGCAGCAGGAAATAGGATTAGCTGGAGCATAATAAACTATCCCTACACACACAGCAGCTTCAAAGTTAAAACGAGTTGTTCAGCTGCCAGGGTTCCATGTTTTCTCTGGAGTAGCCTGAATCCAGCTACTGGAAAAGACTCAATTTTCAGATCCCTACAAGTTCTACAGTGAAAATGTGGGTGTCTCTGTAACAGTTGGATGTTTTGGGGCAGTATCAGATCTGGGTTTTGTAATTATTTCCTGCACTAACTCAGGAGCTGCCTGAGGGGCCTTCATGGCTCTGCGTGCCATGGGTGGAGAGCACAGGACAGGAGGGAGTGCTGGTGCATCAAACCCATCCTCTGAAGTATCTTCCTGCCCAGCAAAAAGAAATTAATTCCCTGCATTGTGTCAGACTGTTGGGTTGTTCCCATTCATGCCTATGATCCCAGGGCTCCAGCATCCCTCATCCTACTGCAGGCACAGTGTCCTTGTCCTGGTAACTCCAGTGACTGCACAGTATGAACTGCCCTTGCTTTAGGGGGAGGAACCTGGTTCTGAATTCTGACAACCAAAGAGCTGATTTCCTTATTTTTCTCTCCAGATGTCACAATGGCAAAATCGGCAAAACTCATCCAGCAACAGCTGGAGAAAGAGCTGTAAGTATGGAATGGGATCTCAATCCCTCTGAGTTTTTCCTCTTGTCCTTTCTCTCTTAGCTCAGTGCTCAGGGAGCTCACTCCCTTGAGCCGTGTCTGAGTTCCTTGTGGAACTGGGAACAGTCTGTTCAGTCTGGGGGTTGGTGGTGGTGGGTTTACAGTTGTGCTCCATGGTCTTTTCCAAGCTAAATGATTCCCTGGATCTATAATCCCTTTGGCCAGCAGACGGCAGCAGGGGTGTTTGTGTTGTGCCTCTTCCAGGCTGAATACCCAACCTTCTGCTTTGTAGCAGAGGAGTTAGTTGCCACAAATTCACATTCTCCAGGAAAATAAGGATAAGCATTTGCCAACTACCTGTGTGTAGGTGTTGGGTTTCTAGGTAGTTACTGTGCCCTGTTAGGCACCATTATTCCAGTCTGTACCATGGGCAAATTGGGATAAGGACATCATCATCATCGTCATCATCTGACTTCTGCTGGCCTTTATTACAAAACCAAACACCAGAAGAGGTGTTGGAACACCTCTCCTTGGGTGCCCTGCTACTCCCTTGAGCTTCTGCACTTGTGCCTTCCAATAGTGGCCAAAGGCCATGGCTGTAGCCTGGCCTGTGTCCTTGGTGTAGCTGGCCTGCTGCTGGCAGAGCTGCATCCCAAACATCCCAGAGCCGTGGTGCAGGTGATATTCCCCTGCTCCTCAGCTCCTGACCCTTTCCCTTCTCTCCCTGCAGCAATACCCTGAGGGTGACACGCTCTGCAGCCCCCACCAGCCTGGATGGTTCAGCCACAGGGGGCCCTGCCCAGCTGGGGAAGAAGGGCAAGGATTTCGAGTTCTCCCAGCTGCCCATGAAGGTGGAATTTGTGGAGTGCAGTGCTCGAGGCTGCAAGGGAGAGGAGGGAGAGGCTGACTTGGAGGCCCTCGAGAAGTGGCTGGTGAAGGTGGCCTGAACAGAGATGGACAGGGCTGGGGGGCTGAAGGGAAAAAGGTGATCTGGAGCACTCAAATCTCATCTTGATGTAAAAAGAAGGAACTTCAGCTGGAAGTCAGCACTGTGGTGTCTTCCTCTGCTGCTCGTGGGCTTGGGAGCGACATGACAATTGCTGGTGTGATTCCTCTGAGTGTCCTTTCATGCTGCAATGTTTTATCCTCTCCCCTCTTCCCTTGCCCTCCTCTGGGCTGCTGAACCTCTGAGCTTTTCTTTTTCCTTAATCTTCAGGCTTTTCATTTGGTAGTTGCCAGGCAAATTAGGAAGGAGTGCAGTGGCAGGTGAGTTTTAGAGACTGGAGTGTGCCTGCCATGGTTTAGACCCCTGTTGTCTCTCTGAGCCACTGACCACTTTATGGTTGGGGCTGCTGGGCAGCGCTGCACAAGCTCCCTAATTTGGACAGGCATTGAGAGAGTATAAAAAGCTGGTTTCCTCTTTGTGTCTGCCTTCCTGTTATTCCAAACTGGTGCAGCCCCATTTCTGTGGGGCTGGAAGAGTGTGCAGTGCCCAAACCAGACAGCCTGCCCTGCTTTACTCTCAGCTCTGTGCCCGTGCCTGGTGATTTCCTCTCTTGATCAGCTCCTGGGAGTTTTTTTTTCAGCTGTGGGCTGTGTCCTGAAAGCTTCACTCTGCTTCTACTTCCAGGCTCTCCTCCCACAGCCAGGAACACTCTAAAAGTGGCAGAGCTACAGGGGGTCATGGCATGAAATTGAGATGGGCACAATTTCAGATCCATGCCTGCATCTGAGACCTGTTGTGCCAGGCATTAGATGTGCAGTCTCCTGCTGCCTCCTGCTCCAGTGGCTGCAGGAACGTCTTGCTTTGTGCATAATTAATTAATCAGCACTTGTGGCAAAATGAGAGGGAAGGTCAAGGAGCTGCCAGCATGTGGGTGTGCTTCCTCCTCCTGACAGAAATACTCGAGGAAGAGGGGAAAAAAATGGGAGATTTTCCCAGTTTGTGTCTCACTGCACATTGCAGAGTCCTGGTGCAATGACATTTTCCCTTTGTTTGTGGATTCCCCTGTTGTCTTAGGGTTGGGGGGGTGGCTGGCTCCTGGCAGATGCTTTTTGTAGTTTGTAGCCCCCTTTCCCCTGTGGTTTGATGCCTCCTTCATCACTTAACTCATCTGTTGTGTTCTGGGGTTTTTCCTGCCTCCCTGCAGCATTGCCAAGTGCTGGGAAGAGCAGGACCAGCCTCCAGCCAAGCTCCGTGCCTGGAATGAAGCTGGTCCTTGCATTTCCAGCCTTGGGAACCATCCGTGCTGGAGGTGGGGGGAGGGTTATATTTACCAAACATGTTATATTCTTCTGTTTCCTGCAGGCAGAGTCCTGTTGGAACATGTTTGTCATGCTTTGAACTCCTTTAGCTGGAGGTCTTGGGCTGCCTGCTTCAAATCCATAATGCTGAAGTGATTTTGGGCAAGAATTGCTGGTTTTTTGGGTGATTGTTCCTGGAAAGATGCAGAGGCCAAGCACCAGCCTCAGCTTAAGGGGGGGAAAGTACCATGAGGCCATGGTGGGTTTTAAGTTATTCTTTTTAAAGGTATTCCTTAAGTAAATTCTTTTTTGCTTAAATGTTTGTTCTCAAGTCTGGTTTCAGTCTGTGTGTTTGCCTTGGCTCTTCCCAGCAATGTCACATCCACATGGATGGGGCTCTGCTCCTGCTCAGCACAGTGTTGGGGATCAACCTTCCTGCTCTGTGGCCAGGTCTGTGTTGTCAAAAAACATTTTTTCTGCACACAGAGGGCTTTGGGGTTGGTTTTTTTGGGCTTTGTCTTATTAATCGAGGAATTGATAAGCACATACCGAAAAAACGCCCACAAATCATAACTGAAAGGCACTTTGGTGATGTGCACAGGAATGCTCCAGCCAGCTGTGGTGGCTGTGGTGACAGAGCAGCACTGCTCTGCCCTGGAGGTGGCTGTGACACCCTGTGGCTTTGCTGGATGGAGATGAGATGTCTCAGCTTTCCCAGGTTGGGGAGTGGCTGCATGACCACAGCTGAGCTGGGGCTGTGCTCAGAGCTGCTCGTGCTGGAGCACAGAGCAGAACTCCAGGAGTTCTTTGGGCCTCACTCCATGACTTTTTAAATATTTAAATACTCAGAGCTGTTTTTCCCCAGTGGAACAGGGAAAAGAGCAGAACTGGCAACTCTGTGTTGTTTTCTTGTTTTTCTTTATTCCCCAGTCAGCTCTGTGCTTTGTTCTTTGCTCTTCTGACCTTGTTCCCAGCCCGTGGCTCTGCTGCAGCTTGGCAGGGCTGTGTTGGGATGGCTTTGGCTGGACAGTGGGATGTGTTAAACTCAAGCCCTTCTTGCTCCAGCTGCCTGAGCCTGAGTCAGGAGCCTGCTGTGTTCACACATCCCCAGGGCCTGAGGCCTTCACTGTGCTAATGCTCTTCTGGTCAGTGTTTTTTCCTATGGATTGTACTCTGAATTGTTCTCCTGGAAAAGACACAGGTTTTTGGAGGAGAATGACGAGCACAGTGATAACCAGGGTAGCAAAAAACCTGAAAGAGGAAGAGGGATTGCTGAAAGGCAAAGAAAAGCAAAAATAATAATGCCTGGACATCAGCATCCCCAGGGGTGGTTTCCAAGGCTCCCTGAAGCAGATGTTCCAGCTGTGACCTTCCCTGTGCACAGAGCCGCCACCCTGCCACCTTTGGGGCCAGGAGCTTCTGTTGGCCCCATTTGGGTGCATTTTGTGACCAGCCCCTGCTGGGGCTTGTCCTGCTGAGTGTCACCCCTGGTGCAAAAGAAGTGGAGAAATAGAAGGTCAGGTGTGTGTTCAGGGAAAATCTGCCAGGTGGAGGTGGAACAGGAATAGAGATAACGTGGAGGGAGCTTTTTCATGAAGACTTTGGTGATCCAGAACAAATCCAGGGCAGGTTCCCTCCTGTCCTCTGCTTTCCCTTGACTCCCTCCATGAACATGGATGCATCAGGGCCAAGAGCACAGGGAAAAGCCATGGGGCCTGATTACATTCAACCTATAAAAGCCCTGAAAGAAAGCCTCAAACCCACTGTAACCTGCCCAGAGCTTGCTGCATTGAAAAAATTACAGGATTTTAAAGTAGCTCAGTGCTGGAGTGAATCGTAAGGTTGTGCTGGATCAGAAGGAAACATGGAGCTGACAGTCTGATTAATTAATAATTGTAAAGATCATTAATGATAGAATAAGCAAAGCTGAAGTTAAAATACTATTTTAAAACGCTGGAGCAGATTGTGGTCTGTGTACTGGAACAACCCCATCCCAGTGAGGACTAACAGAACCCTCCAAAACCCACCTGAGAGGTGTGAAACAACCAAAAACAGCGACCCAGTGAAGGGTGAGAAGGACCCCAGACCTTTGGGACTGTGGTGTGAGGGAAGGGGAATGACACTTTTTAATGGCCAGGCATTTCTTTGTCCCTTGTCTGAGGCACCAGCTCGACCCAACCAAATCCCAGAATTGATCTGTGCCAATAAACCTATCAAGGATAAGAACCTCAGGACAAAACCTTCTTCTGGCCCTGCCTGCTTCCCCCTACCCCTCCCCATCAGGGAGATGCAGGCAGGGCTGGGCAGGTTTGTGGGACTGCAGGCAGGACCCCGAGCTCTGTGTAGCCCTTACCAGCCCTCTCCCATCACCCATAGAGCTGCAGGAGAAGAATGTCCCCCTCTGCCACCATTTCTTCCTCTTTCCAGCTGGAATGTGCCAGACTGTGACCTGCAGCCTCCCCAGGGCTTGTCTTGCTGGTGGGGGGAGACCCAAGAAAGCACCACAGTTGGAAAAGTGACCTTTATTTAAAAAATAAAAAGAGCAACAAACCCCAGATGTTCTGCAATAAACCCCTTGTGTTGACTTGTTCCAACATGTGCGTGGTGTCCCTGCTCACCTCTGTGGAAGCTGTGGGGACACCAGGGCTGGCAGCCACCTCCCCTGCTCCTGTGCCAGCCGGGAATGTCACGCTGGAGCAGGACCGTGGCCCACAGCAGGCACTTCTCCTCTGCCTCCTGCTTCAGCTGGCTGGGGGCTGCTCCTCCCCAGGGTGCTGGAGAGCCTGGGGGATGCCCTTCCCAGGAGATGCCATTCCCAGATGTCATTCCCAGGAGGTTCCATTCCCAGGATGGGGCTGGCCCCCTCGCTGGGAGCACCTGGGCTGTGGGAGAGGAGCTCGGCGTCGCTCCCGTGGGAAGTGAAACAAACCCAAACAAGACAAAGTAGTGGCAGTGGGTGATGGGGTGTGAGTCAGTCCTCGGGGGCTACACCAGCCCCGCTGCCTTCTCCTGCACGTTGTACTCCTTGCTCCTCTTCACCTTCCAGCTGATGAGGGCCAGCAGCACGGTGCCCACCACCTTGTAGCCCACCTGCAGCCCCAGGTATCTGCCAGGAGAAGAGCAGGGACATGCCATGTCTGGAGCTGGCCCTTCCAGGCAGCCCCAGGCTGGGCTGGGCTGGGCTCAGGGTACCTGTTTCGGAGGAAATCGTTGTTGTAGTAGGCGCAGAAGCGGCGCTGGGTGCACTGCTGCTGCCAGTGGATGCAGGACGAGTCGATGAGGGCTCCAAACATGGCAGGGGCCGGCAGCCAGGCTGGAGGGAGGAGAGGGTGGAATCAGGGGCTGATCCCGAGGAGGTTCAGTGCCTCCCACAGCTCCAGCAAAGCCCAGCCTCGTTCAGAGATGAGCACTCACCCAGCAGTCTCATCAGTAAGAACTGCACTCCGATGGCGAACGACTTCTCATCCTGGTTCACCACCCTGCAGGGGAGAATCCAGGGGAGGTCAGAGCTGCTGGATTTGACCAAGACTTGGGCTGGGTTATGGCATCCCATTGATCCCAGCATGGGGACCCATCATATTGACACCCCTCCTTGCTCACCGTAACACCATCATGTAGAGGGGGTTGTGGGACAGGCAGGCGACCAGGGCAGCAAAGGAGATGAGGAATATGGCAGGAAGGAGCATATGGGAGCAGCTGACTGGACAAGAGCCCGTGGAGGTGGAGAACAGCTCATTCCCATTGAGGGAACAGTTGTGGTAGAGCTGTTGGAACAAAACAGACGTCAGAGTCCCAGCCCCAGGAGCAGGTTTCTCGTGATCCATCATCCCACATCCCTGTGCAGGACACTGACAAGAGCACCAGCTCCAGTTGTAAGGCACAGCCATGGCATCCTATAATTGGATTTGCCACCATCCCTGTTCCTCAAGCAGGTTCCCAGGGCATTCCAGCAGTTCCCCAGGGCTCAGCACACTGTGTGGAAAAGGTTCCACCTCCTTATTGCATTTGTGGGTTCCTGCAGCATCACTGCACTATTCCCAGCAAGGCTGCTTTGCTAACCACCTGCTTTACTCACCAGCTGTCTGGGATTGGAGGGGTTGGTGGTGCTGTTGGTGCAGCCAGCGAAGCAGGGTGAGATGTATTCCGTGGTGTTTTTCCAGCACACGGGGTTGAAGATCTGCTTAGAGCATTGGCATCCAACCCGTGCCTTAACCTGCTGCTGGGAATTGGGTGTACTGCCAGAAAGGAGAGGGGGGAAAAATTGGTAAAAAATTAAGAAATAGGAGTGGAGGAATTAAAAAAAAATTAAAAATTCCCTTTTACTAGTTGAGCAGTTTTCCAGTTCCTGTTTGGGCTGGGACACTGCCAGCAGCTGCCTGGCCTTCTGCCAGCCCCTGATCCCTGCAGGTACCTCTGGAAGTGTGCAGTGAATGTCACAGGAATTATGTTATGTCTACAAACAAGTACTCACACGCTTCTTTTCTCGTGTTTTTTTTTTTTTTTTTTTTTTTTTTTTTTTTTTTTTAAGCTGAAAATTAATCAGCCAAAAGCCTGGAGAAATGGATCTGGGCTCCATCCAAAGCTGCACAAACAGATGTGTGAACAGCCACAGCTGGAAGCACCACACGAACACAAACTGAAAGTGGGCATGTTCCCAAACAAGCCTCGTGACTGTGGAAGTGAAGAGGACAAACTCAAATGTGCCCTGTCTTCCCTCACTCCCCCTAGGAGTGCATCTGCTGGAGTCACAGCCTGAATCCTGCAGGAATGTGGCACTGGGCAGGGTGGGATGGGGCTGCTCCACCTCCTGCGGGAAGATGGCATCAGAAATCCCTTCCTTGCTGGCAGTGCGCTGGGAAATGAGCTCAATGCACTTGACATCAAGCCTTGGTTGTATATAAATGTCATTTTTATCTCAAGAAGTCATGGTAAGAGCCAAAAATATCCACTGAGGTGAGGAGAAATATGATGTCCATCTGGAACGCTGGGAGCGTGTGAAGCGATGTGGACACAATATTACTATTTTTCCCCTAAAAATTCAGAGTGAAAAATTACACCCTGCTTGTTTGGCCCAGAAAATCATGGATAAACGCCCTCTTGAGCTCTCTGGGCTGTGAAGCACCCAGATCTCCTCCATGCAGTGGGGATCAAGGAGCAAGAAGCAGCACGGTGATGCCTTCTTCCTCTCCACCTGAGTCTATCCCTCCTCACGGCTGAGAGCTGGAGAAACAAGGAGCTGTGAGCAGCTCCTGCATTACCTGGGGTGGTAGATGCCCTCGATGTGGCCTGTGGAGCAGCCCATGAAGAAAATGGGCAGGCAGATGAGGAT